GAAATTGATTAAAAAAACCCAATATTTGAAGTTTCCATAAAGGGGCACTCTAAGCACCACTATTATGTTCTGAATTTAGTTCTGCTGTTCTTTAACACCAGTATATAAAATAGGATTTGCTATGATTGGGTTCCACTGGGCTGGAAAAAATTTAGTCCATACTAATAATTATGCAGTCAGTATACTTGTACCAGTTTTGTGTAAGTTTATTTTTGTCTTGTTTCAGCAGCATAAAACTATGGATACACTATGTTGTATACAGCATAACACTGCCATTTCATCAAGTGCTTACATAGGCTAGTAAGTTTTTAAGCTTTCTAAAGAATAAGAAGTTGGCAAGCATCAGAAGCATGCTCAATTACTGAGTCACACTCAGAACTAAATGCCAAACCTCGCGTTCACACATTTAAAGAGCCAAAAACATCCAAAATGCAAAAATTAAATTTAGGTTTGAGGGACAAGCACTTGGATCTTCTCCCTCTATCCCTCCCCCACCCCCTTTACTAACCAAGTTAACTATAGGGGTGGAGATTAGTGAACTTCAGTCTTTCACCTTCACTTTCCTATTTCTACTACTGTGACATAATACATAGGGTACATAGGGAACAGGAGGAAAACAAATGGGAGTGTGGGGACATTGCTCAACAACTCAGGAGAGCTGGTTACTGGCACCCAGGAGAAAGCTGAACTTCTGAATGACTACTTCGCTTCGGTCTTTCACCAGACCACGGGGAAAACCATGCCAGGTAGAGTACACAATGAGCACTGTAGGAATAATCGCCTTCTTACTATTGCCATAGAATTGGTGTATGCCCAATTTAAAAAAATTAGACGTATACAAGTTAGCGGGACCAGATGATCTTCATCCAAGAGTGCTGAAGGAGCTGGCCGAAGTCACTGCGGAACACCTGGTGAAACTTTTCCACAACTCGTGGCACTCTGGAGAAGTCCCTGAGGACTAGAAGAGGGCCAATGTTGTGCCCATCAACAAGAAGGGCAGGAGGGAAGACCAGGGCAACTATAGGCCAATCAGCCTAACTTTCATCCTAAGGAAAATCCTAGAAAAGTTCATCAAGGACTCTATCTGCGATAAGCTTGCAGAAGGTAAGATTCTGAATGATAGCCAGTATGGCTTTGTTGCGGGTAGGTCTTGCCTTATCAACCTCATTTCCTTCTATGACCATGTAACTCACCACCTGGACACGAGACAGCAGGTTGACATTGTATACCTTGACTTCCAAAAGGCCTCTGATCTAGTATTCCACAAGATCTTTGCGAGAAAATTACAGGATTGTAGGCTTAACTCCAAGACAGTCAGGTGGGTGAGAAACTGGCTGCTGGATAGAACCCAGAGAGTCATAGTGAATGGATCTGTGTCATCCTGGTGAGAAGTGGGCAGCAGTGTCTCGCAGGGGTTGGTGCTTGACCCAGTACTTTTCAACATTTTTATTCATGATTTGGATGTGGGGGTGAAGACCTCACTGGCCGAGTTCATGGATGACACCAAGTTATGCGGAAGTGTAGTCATGCTTGAAGATAGGCTACAGATACAGGCAGACCTAGACAGGCTAGCAAGTTGGGCGGATCAGAATCTGATGAAGTTCAACGTTGAGAAATATCAAGTGCTCCACCTCGGGATGAGCAACCCCCAACACACCTACAGGCTTGATGGCACCAAACTGACTAGCACCATGAATGAAAGGGACCTGGGGGTAATAATAGACCACAGTATGAATATGAGCCAGCAGTGTGATGCTGTAGCCAGTAGGGCAAATAATACTCTGGCATGCATCAATCGATGCATCTGCAGCAAAACCAAGGAGGTGATTCTTCCACTCTGCTCAGCACTGGTGAGACCGCAGCTGGAGTACTGCATCCAGTTCTGGGCACCACACTTTAACAAGGACATGGACAAGCTTGAGAGAATCCAAAGAAGAGCTACCCATATGATCAGAGTCTTAAAAGGCAAGCCATACAAGGAAAGGCTGAAGGACCCTGGGACTCTTCAGCCTGAGGAAAAGAAGGCAGAGAGGGGACCTGGCAGCAGCTTACTGCTATACTAGGGGAGTACATCAAGGGCTCGGTGAGGAACTGTTGCTGGGATCACCTGACCCCCAGTTATTTTTCCTGCTTGGTGCAGGGGGATGGACCCGATGATCTTCCAAGGTCTCTTCTGGCCTTACAATATATGAATCTATAATACTAAGATTTTCTTAATTTGTTATGGACTCCTAAATACTTCTAACAGAATACAAAAATTCTTTGTAGATTTAGCTCATGAAGAAAGGCTTTACTGTGATGAAGATGGAAGTGAAAAACATTGACAGAACTGTTAGGGTGACAATATTTGGATTTTCAGGGAGCACTGAATCTGCAGCTAAACAAGGCTTCAACCTGTGTTGAAGCCTGGAACAAGGCTTCAACCTGTGGCCTAGCAGAGCTGCTGACCACAAGGCAGAATGATATCTAAGCCAGCCATTTGTTTATGGTAAGCAACCATCTTAACTGTGTCAACCATTTTCTAAGAAAAAGCAGTAAGGGAGTCTGTGTAAGTCCGTGCGCTGTGAACCAGCTACAGTGAGGAACAAGATAAGATACAGGGGCCCAAAAAAGGTGGAAGATGGTACAACCTGAGACAGAAAAACAGACTGGAATGTGAACTACAACACATAATTGGTAACAGAATCCGAGATGAACATATGCAAAAAGGGTGAATGGTAATTGGTGAAGAAGCCTCCGTGTTTTAGTCAAAGTCCGCCCATTGACCGAAGAAGAGAAGTCAGGGTCTTAGACATGCACTCATAGCAAAAAGACATGTAAATGAATGAAATGCATAGGCAATTCTATGCTAATGAAGCAAACAGTAAACAGAGGTGGAGCCTGAAATGGCAGGAGAAATGGCTGGAACACAGGAGGGGTGAGGGTAAAATGAATGGTAATGAGCATAAACCAAAGTGTATAAATCTGGGAAAAAACTATTGTTCAGGGCTGCTCCCTGTGTTCATAGACTGGGTGTCTGAAAGGGATCTCGTCCAAAGCTGTCTCCATTCTAAATAAAGCTCTTGCGAGCAACGTGTGCAAGGAGCATTTGCTCCTCGTCTGCGCTGGCTAATGAGTAACAGGACCCATGAGCAATTGGATCGTCATCTCCCTAGTCATTGGGCGCCGCATGGAGGCAGGGTCTAACAAGAACAATTAACCTGTTACAATGAATTCCTAGTCTATATTAGAAACAAGCTTTAGATTTGCACAAAACGTTGCTTTGATTCAGAGTGTAAGCCAACATTTTAAAGAACTTATTTGCCTAAATTGAGGTAGATAAATACAGATTTAGGAATATGGGAATAGAGAAAGTTCTGTGTTGTATCTGGCCGTGATCTTCCAGTCATTTTTATCACATTTCTGAACTGCTAGTTCTCCAGTATCTCTTCAATGATAAGTACACAGAGCTGAACACAAGCAGAAGGTGGAGCTGGATGACACCTTAGAGACTAATTAGTTCAAAGAGGCATGAGCTTTCATAGATAACAACATATTTTATCAGACACTTATTCTGATGGTTCAGAAACATCTGACAAAGTAGGTTGTTGCCTATGAAAGTTCATGCCTCTCTAAACCAGTGAGGTCTCATGTGCTACCCTGCCCAACCTTCTGCTTGATTTCAGACTAATATTGCTAACCACCTCAGAACTGAACACAGTATTCCAGGTGAGTACATACCACTTACTTATGTAATAGCATGGTATTGGCAGTATTTTTCCTCCATTGTATTTGCAGTGTTTTCTTTTGTTTCTACTGTTGCTGTACACTAAGCAGAATTTTTCAGTAATATGCCCATGGTGCCAGAGGTGTTCTGGCGACTGTTAAATTTCACTGCTAGATTGCAAGTCAACTGGGAAGTATAAGGTACTTTGTACCTCTGGAAAAAAAAAAATCAGGCCACTTGGAGATGCATAAATGTGAGAATTATGTTCCCCAAGTGTAGAAGTTTCAGAATTTTGGCCTTAGGAGAGAGTGAGTCAGTCCCAAGTACTGAAGTACAGTATTAAAAGCTCCATTATTCTGCAAGACGTGGTGAACAATGCCCACCCCCCACTCTCTCCCCCAAAAAGAAAAAGAAAAAAAAAAGAATCAATATGTACTGTGTCTGGTACTCAACTTTATTACATGCATAGAAGCTCAATCATTTTATTTGGGAAATAACACATTTGTGCTTCTTCCAGAAGCTGCGCGATTCTATTTAATGGTTACAAGTCCATCCTTACTTCCCGATAAACATTCTCAGTAAACAAGAAGAAAAGAACTGAATGTTAAAAGTTCAGCTCACGAAACACTGAAATTGCATCTAGTGGACTTTTCATGAGTCTGTCCAGACCTCAGATTATGAGACACAAAACAAACAGTTTAACTATAGAGGCAGAGGCACAGGCATAACTATCAACCTTGGACAAAACTTGGGACAGCAGTGATGAGTACTCCTTTTTCACATCTGGAGCAGCCCTGTGCCCCTTGGCCATAGGAGCCCAGCTGGAGAAGACCTGTGCTACCCAGCTGTAGGAGCTGCGTGCTGGGATGCAGCAGGAACAGCTCTGTGCTGCCTGGCCCTAGAAGCTAAGCTGGAGCAGCCCTGTGCCCACCTGACCATAGAAGGTTGTTCCTTCCTGGAGGACTCAAAGACCCAGGCTGCTCCTGCTGTGTCCCTGAAACTGGCTCCTATGGTTGGGCACTATGGAGCTTCTCCAACTCTATTTCTAGGGTTGGATAGCATAGGGCTTCTCCAGCTCGGCTCATATGGTCAGAGGGGGCAGGTCTGCTCCAGAAGAGGCAAAGACTCTTGGGGGGACGGGGGATGGGATGGACACACATCATCCTGGCATCCCCTCTAAGTTGGCGCGTTTGGCTACTGGCCGTCTGGCAACCCCCTGTTTTGATACTTGGATATATGAAAGGAAACAATTACAGTGACTGCAATAAATAAGAAAGCTGGAAACTGGTCCTACCTGAACCATTTTTCAGATATCCATTTGCATCAACAGTTGTATACTTGATGTAAGGTCCAGGCTGATTCACACCAAAAGGCTGAAATATAAAGAGATGGTTGAATAGTCAGAGTTTGATGTAGATTTTTTAAATCTTAGAAATTAACAGAGCCATAACAATAAAAATGTTCAACTAAAAAGTCAAACTTTCATTGGTTTACTGTTTAGCTCATGTCTGTATGCCTCATGCCAGTATGGAAAACTGTGGAACTCCACAATTATTTTATTCACATGCACTGTATTAGAATAGAATTAATTTTCAAAATACGGACAATCACTTTGCTGTCTTTCAGTATGATACTGCTATCATTTCCCTTTTCAACATACTTCTCTAAAAGCTCTACTGTAAAAAAACTTTCATTTAACACTTGAAAAAATGGCAAAATCAGAGTATTCACTCAAATGTACCATTCTTAGTTGAGGCTGATTTAACTAAGTATAATTGCATGGAATCCTGAATCCAGTCAGGTATACAGAAAAGCAAAGTTTAGAACTTTCTATATCCTTTTCAGATGCTTTGATTCAATGATGCAGAAAACAGTAAACATTTCTAGTAGCAATGTTGTTTCATGACCCAATGCAAATATGAAGGAGATGACTGACTTGCAGTTCACTAGAATAACAAAAGCCAGTAGAATATGGTACTTAAAGGAAATTAATATCATCCAGGCCAGTGGTTCCCAAACTCTGACAGACTGAGTACCCCCAATTTAAGATGATACAGCCTTAAGTACCATCAGCATTTTTTTCATACACATAGGTAACAGACTATGTATTAAAACAACATCAAAACACTTAGTAATCATAAAACATTGTTTTAGCAATTACAGTAGCCATATAAAATGATTGTAAATTGGAAAAAAACCCAGTGTAAACCAAGCGTAGGCAACATTTTTGGTTGAAGCACCGAAAAAACCGCAATGTGTACCCTGTAAGGTGCTGGAGTGTGGGCACACCAGAAAAACAAAACTGGGACGGAGGGTACATGGCAGGACACGCTGCATATTAATACAGCAAATAATCATAAATGTTGCTTCTTTTTTTTTTATTTACAGTAAATACCAGGTTTTCTAAAAATTCTAAACCTGGTGACAATAAATAAAACTTCATATACTACTTTTGTTCTTGTGTATTCTTTTTTGTTAAGCATGCTGTGATTGGCGGGCCAGGGAGAGAGAGAGAGAGACAGAGAGAGAGAGAAGGGTGCGGGGAGAAGCAGGCTGGGGAGGAGCTGCGGGCAGGCTGGTCTGGCCTGGCCCTTGGGAAGTGGCAGCCGGAGGACGGCGGGGGCCAGGCGGGGATTGGCAGCTGCCCCAGTGCTCCGCAGACTCTGGCACAGTGGAGTGCTCTGATGAGGCCCGACCTGGGCCGCACAGCTCCACGGGGGTGAGGTGCAGCTGCCCTGCCCACAGGGGAACGCCATGTGTCTGGGGCAGGATGCCGGGCTTGGGGGACTCCTGGCTCGGTCTGTGCATGCCAGGCGCAGTGCAAGTGGGGCAGAGCTCCCCAGGCCACAGCAGGGACTCCCTGGGCTCTGGGAATAGCTGCCTCAGGCGGTGCTCAGAGCCGAGCCAGCCAGGAGCCTGCAGCATAGTGGCCCTGCGCGGCACCTTCCCCGGCCCCTTGAGGGGAGCTGTGGGTGGGTAAGGCCGGGACTTAGGCAGGCAGGGGCAGCTGTGCCAGCTGTTCCCAGGATGTCCTGTGGCCAGGCCCTTGCCGCAGGGGCGGTTCCGCCCCACTTGTGCTGTGCCTGGCACACAGGAAAGCCAAGCCTGGAGTCAACGTCCCCCTGCCAAGCCTGGCATCCTACCTCAACCTCATAGAGCTGCACATATCCATCCAGGTGCAGCTGTGCACCCCTGCCCGCCCACCCAACTCGGCCCTTCCTGGGGCAACCTGGGCCTTTCCAGGAGCGTGGGGGACCCCCACCACTGTGCGCACCCCAGGGTAGGCACAGGGGCCATGTGCCCCCTGGAGTTATGTGCAGGGTGGAGGTGCTGCTGCTGGGCTCTGCACGTCAGGAGATGCATGCGACTCCAAGCGCCTTTTGCCCCCAGGCAGCCAGTACCTGGAATGCTCATGGCATCATGCGTGGCCACGAGGCAACAGCAGCCCGCTCCCGCCCCATGCACAAATCCAGAGGGGAGGGGGACAATTGGTCCCCCCGTACCTATCCTGGGGTGCACACAGGGGCAGGAGCCCTCCCCCTGTACCTCTGGACAAGCCACCCTGGGCTCCCACCATTCCCTCCCTGCCCACTCACTCCTGCCTTTGCCCAACACCCTCCCTCACCGTGTGGGCCTCAATCTGGCCCTGCCCCTTGCCTCCAACACACCTACCTGCTAGGCACTGCTACACACACAGCCAGGCTGTGTTCCTGGCCACCTGGAGCAGGCTGGGCTAGTGTCTGTGTATGTGCGTGCCCTGCCCTTCTGCGTACCACTCACAGGGTGTCTGTGTACCACTGATGGTACGTGTACCACAGTTTAGGAACCGCTGATCTAGGTTGCCAATACAGTTTTTATAGCATTTTATTTGAAACTGTCTACAACTGAGAAGTGTGACTAGTTTAAAGCCCCTAACTGTAAAATGCAATCTTATTAGAACTGACTTTTAGTTTTTCACCCAAAAATAAAACCAAATAATTCTTCTTCAAAAGGTCTTTTGGGAAACTAGCCAAAAGGATGAGCTGGCAATCAGTACATAGAAGGTTGGGGGTTTTTTCAGTGTTAACTGTGGTTGCCTTGACAGCAATAACGTAGTAGAAATAAAATATTTATATAATAATGCCTTTTATACTAACCAGATTATTTTTCAAATCTTGAACACTTGTGCAGGTGAGCTGTAATTATGGAGTGGTAGCAGCCAGTCCATAATTGAGATTATAAATGATTTCTATAAATCTGACTAAAATCTACAAACAAAGAAATGCAGGCTTTATAAATTGTAGGCTACCTCTGAGTTGAAAGAATATTTTCACCAAACACAATTAACTCAAGAAGGTATTTCTTAAATTAAATGTCTTAAAAGTTGAGGTATTAAACATAAATAGACTCCAAGTATTTGTCACTTTTCATGAAAAAAAGACAGGTCAAACTTAGTTTATACATCTGGCTGAGCCGCAGAGCCAAGAAACAATGATTAGATAATTAACCTTTAATGCCGAAAGTAAAGATTTAGAATGGTAATATCAGAACACTACATTAGCTCAGACAAGCTAGTGTTTTTTAAAATAAAACTCTATCTATTCCTTTTCCTTGCAGTATAGGTCTCAAAATAGAAGTCAATTGATAGTGAAATACATAAATGGAAAAATAAGGATGCTCCTCCCCTCCCCCCACTGATATAGAAAATACTCAGATCATGTGTTTGTAAATGAAAACATTAAGAGGGACTTTAGAAAATTCTAATTGTTTTCAAAATATCATGATTATGTTCTCAAAAAAACAGGATAATTTTCAAATAAAAAAATAAATTGATAAAAGCAACTTTACTTAATACAATGAAAAGAAACATCCAAGAATCACATGAAAATGGTCTATAAAGTTTATTATGATTCTTAATTAAAAAATGAAATTTACAATGCCAAGAATTAAAAAAAAAGTGCAACAGTACAAAATAACCTACCTCATAACAAAACCTGAGGAATAATAAAGGAACAGTGAATGTTCTTGCTTAGAAATCCACAGCATTAAAGAAAGTTTTCAAAATAATTAGATGTATTATTTGGTATTAGGAGTGCCTAAAAAAATATAGATGTATATGCACTGTAACTGTGGTCTTAGATAAGCCAAAAACATTTTCCATTATATTGAAAAGATCTGCGTCAGAATCAACACGAACATATTCTCTTACTGGGGACTCAGATAATGTAAAAAAGGGACCATTTGTAATAAGGAGACAGCATAAACCAAGTACACTCTTTATATTTTTCTGCTGCCAATATAGGTGTGATTTCTGCCATCTATTTTGAGAAGAGAAAGCAAAGATTATGAAGAGCTATTGAAAAGGATCAGAATAGTGAAGAAAATCAAAATGGATAAATAGGAGGCAAATATTTCAAATGCAGCAGAGCCATAGGGACCTAAGCTGTCAAGTAAATCAATCTGAAAGCATTTTCTCAATCTGAACTTTATTCAAACAACAACAAAAAACAACTTTCAAAATAATTTCTTTAAAAGCAAGTTCAGGCTTCTTTTGAGGCTGTACCATACAATACAGTTTATTTTTGCTAATGGGAAGAGGGTTGAACAAACTTTCTCATAGTGTCCTTCCTAAACTCTCACTTTTTCACCTGTTTTATGCTGTCTTATATTGTACATGTATACAAAAGCATGACAAGATCACTAGCAAATCTAAAGTTAAGAGTAGTCAGTCATTCAAGATAAAGGAATGCTTAAATCCTTTATGTCAGGTATGACATTAGTTGATACTCATAACCAAAATGACATTTGCTCTGTCTTATGATGAATATTTAATTTCCTGAAAAGATAAAAGTGCAGGCAAGAAACAGACTAAGATTTCAAAGGAGTTAAAAATTACCACTTTTTCAAAATTGAGGGCTGATATTTACTGATTTCAAAGACCCCTTTAACCTAAAAGTGCTGTTTAAAACTGAAAATACATATATGAACTTCCAAACAAAGAATGCAGTGAAAGCTGCTGGATAAATAATTCTGCAGCCAATATATATTAATTAAAAAAATAATCTGTTGTTTTAAATTTATGTAATCTCTTTTTGGGGGGAGAAGGGAAGGTGCTTAAAAATAAAAAATAGTAATTGTAAAAAATAAAAAAGGGCTTGTTGACTGACACATGGTGAACAACAATAGGTTGGATTAGAAGAGAAATAAGAAAGATGGCAAAAATATGCAACATGGTTGAATGTAAAAGAATCGAAGAGGTTTTAGAAAGAGACAGTGAAAAATTCTGCTTTTGTCATGCTGAATTTAAAACTGAATGATACCACAAAATCTAGGAAGAGATTTTTTAGAGGGACAGTTGCAGAACGGAGGCTGGTCTGCACCTGGCACTGTTCAACACAGAGAAAGTAAACGCAGCCATGAGAACATAGTGCAGAGCTGAGCTGTCCAACTGGTGGCCACGGCTGCTTAACACTCACAAGGAGTTAGATTGCAGTCCTTAGGCTCCTGCCGAGCTGCCACTCCCTCCATCGCTCTGGCCAGAGTCTCTGCATCCCCATTTCCCTCCTCCAGCTGCCCCTCTCATTCTCCACCCCAGGGGGTGGGACAGTGAGGCGAGCAGTACAGGGAGCTGAGAGTACAGGGTCACGTGGGGAGGTTGGACAGGGCTCGTGTGGGCGTTTGCACTTGTGTGGTACACATGTGGCAACCTGAGTGGGAGGGAGAGTCCTGTGAGGGTGCACATGGGCGGAGTAAATTACACCTATTGTAGTAGGGGTAGCAGTTGTGTGCCTGTGCAGTGCAGCAGGTGGAGGGGAAGGTGGGGAGTTGTACAGTGTAGCAGAGGGTGAGGTGCACAGTGCAGCAGTGGGAGGGAGGACACGGCGCAGTAGCGGGGAGGGGGGAAATGTCCATGTAGCTTAGTGACTTGGGGGACACCAACAGAGGGAGAAAGGGATGAAGAGACTTTAAAGAGAATCCTGATGCAGATGGCTGAGAACTGAAAGTAAAAGGCAAAATTCCATGCTGATTTTGTGCTAAATGGCTTTATGTTATGGTAGTAAACACTTTCCAAATATTTTTGTTAGGGGAATTATACTTACAGACAGAATTATTTAAGTCAGTGGTACCCAATTTTTTGGCCCCATGGGCCAGATAAGCAGTACCTGGTTGGTCCACGGGTTGGATCCAGTCTCAGGTTGCTGCCCAGGACTCGGAAATTTGGCAGCATGGTAGCAGTAGCAGCATTAATTGCCACCGCTCCTCTGCTGTCAGATTTCCAGGCCCATGGAAAGGTCTGCAGGCCAGATGACCTGGCTCCAGGGGCTGGATCTGGCCTGCAGATTGGAGATAAGCACTCCTTTTTAAAGCAAATTTTGAGTAATATTTAACACTTTAAATATGCTAGAATAACTTACTGTTACATATTAGGAACGCACTCAGTATGCACTTTGAACATCTCTCACTAATTTCACAGAAGATTTAAGATACATGTCTTATAATATACTGGCTGAGTTATGTTCTTTTTTCCATGCATTGTTCAGACATGTATTTATAACCCATTATACCTGGAGGGCTAGGATATTTTATAGTTACAAAGACCATTCCTTAGATAACTGCCTTAATAGATTAAAAGAGAAAAGTTAGTTCAATTTTGAAGTAGGTTCTTGATTCCCCAATCAAGCACGTAGCTTGCTTTCAGAAATGCATGTTCTTTTTTACTCTTCTCCTTCCCTGTCCTTTCACATACTCAGCCATTTGCACCCACTTCATTTGGTAATCTAGACTGCAAATTCATGTGAGTACTGTTTGTCTTGTACATATCTGGAAAGCACTCAGCACAGAAAGGCTCCAGTCTAACTGGGATCAGGGAGCTAAAGTAATGCAAAATATAAATGAAACTTACTGTTATTTTCCGAGGGCAGTCATTAGAACAGAGGCCACTAAGAACTGTGGAAAAAAAGAAAGTGGGTTTATATTTAATATATTGTCAAACATATTTATAGTAAGCATTACCTGTCTCTGAAATCTATTAATATACAGTATAAATTCAAGCCCCTCTATGCTGGCACATTTGGGAGTTCATCTTTAGAGAGAATAAACTATCATTTAATATATGTTAACATGTTAAAAGATCTTATTGATCTGCTTAAATTATGCTGCTTTGAAGAAGTTAATTAGCTAATCACTGTTCTATGTAACTGATTGGTTAGTGTGGTTCCAAAGATAGATTTGCCACTTATGAAAACTGCAAACAAATTAAAATGTATGCCAAAAGTGTATTGTACCCTTTGCTCATTATCCTTCATTTCCAAATGGTTAACCCATAGTCCTTATATAGTACTTAACTTTCCTCTTTAAACTGGGTCAAATAAATCTGTAAAAACACTTTAAATACATGATGGTTACAAAACTATTTGTATTTATAACAAATTGTAAGAAATCCATCAAACAAAAATTCCCAAATTCTTCCACATCCTAGCAGTATGAGAGTATTGTTATTGGGAGATGAATCTAGTTAAAATAGGCTGTAAAGAGATGTAGCACATTTATCCTGGAAGAAAGTCTCTGATCCCTTGATCTTAGTTCACCTCTGTGTTGCACTTCAAGGCTAGGGACAGAAATTACATATAAACTGGTATAAGTGATTGGAAACCAGTTCAAATCTGTAACACAGGGGAAGTTTAATGTGCATAAACTACTTTCAAAATGGCTGAAGCCAGTTTAAGATAAGCCAGGATGGATGTAGTATCAGATTTAACTGATTTAGATTAAATTGATGTATTGAACTTCTGTCCCAGATCCCCTCCAGATTCAAGTTAACTAACAGTACCCCAGCATCCCAGGATGCTTTGCACCTGCCCTGCAAACACCCCCTTGTAGGGTGGGTGGGCTAGCCTTGACCCAAGCTATTTGCTCCAGCTGAGCATGGAGGTATGCTCTAGCAGCTTCCTCTCCCCACCCAGCCTGGGCCACTGCAGGCGTGTGGCTGTATTTCCAGAATCAAAAGTGAATGTCTGTTCACTTGCTTATAGGTTCAATTTATGCAGTTTAGACAAACTTGCAAAGATTGAGCTGATTCAGCCTTGGGCTTTTGACTGTCTGTACTCAGCCAATGTAGCTGTAAGTGTGCCGGGTAAGATATCCTAGCACTTTTTTTCTTGGGACATTGCTGTGTGCATCTCTAAGTTAATTGTGGCTCATTTAATTCAACTGCCCTTTATTCCACAGACAAACATGTCTGGCTCTATGGTCTTCCTGGCTACCTACTGGCAGAGGAGAACCAAGGCAGCTTGGAAATACTGTGTGTGTTAAGGGTTCTGCGGTTTTGATCTGAGTCAGAACCTTGGACAATTACAACTGCCTCAAAGGAGACATTTGTTTGCCATAAATAAGCAATACATTTGACAGTTGTTTAATTATATATTTAAAATGTTACTAGATTACAGAAACATCAGTTGCGTGTTTATAATAACTTAGGGAAGGCATGAAAGCTCTCTGCTAAGTGATCCAGTGCATTCTGTCACATAATGTAATAATATTAAAAAAATTCCAGGAACATCACAGCATCGTATTCTGCTGCAACTTCCTGTGACACATACAGATTTTAAATGGCAGCAAACTGGCTGAATGGCAGCCTGGAAATGGCCACCTGTACTGAGAAGGTGGAATCTAGGAGATCCAGGCTGCTCTGCAGCAGCAGCCAGATCTGTACCTCACTTTGTCATGCAAGGGAGGGGATACAGGATATAGAAAGTCTTTGGAACCATATGGAGCCTGGAGACAGACCTCTTATTTATTTATTTATTTTGACAACTCCTCTCTGATCGGGGGCCAGGTTGCTGTAGCCTCCATCTGTCTCTATCTGGCAAATTTCAGTATATGTTCCATTAGGTTTGGGACAGCAAAGGCAGCAGCACCGGATGGTTGTGGCAGCTGGGCGCAGGCAATCGCACTGTAACAGGTCCTCTCCTTGACCTATTGATGGGCCCCTCGCCTTCATCACTTTGTGATTGGAGGAGGCAGCAGAAGTGAGGTCAACAACTAGACCAGCGGTCTCCATCCTTTTTATGGTGAAGATCACATTTTGTAAGTAAAGGGCACCCCTGGATCTACTGCCCCCTCAGCCCCTGCCCCCTGGACAAGCTGCCCAGGCTCTGACCCTACTTACCCAGCCTGGCCTGGGCAGCAGGGGGCATGGCTCAGCCCAGCCACATGCATCCTGCTGCTTCCAATCATGGAGCCTCTGACAGAATGAGAGACTGTCAGAGGCTCCAAGATCAACTGGTTGGTGACCACTGGACCAGACTAATAGGCACTAAACAGCATACTGGAGGCACAAGCAGGCAGGTAGGTTACTGCTTCAAGGCTATAGTTGTATGTCTTTAGTGGGTCCACAAAAGTGATTTGTTGTAAGACTGATTTATGCTTCTATACTCACTGAGGAGTGAGCTATAACCACAGCCTCTCAGCCTGCAGATCTGTCATTCCAAGGTACAAGTATACCTGTGTGCATCGGTGGTGGTGGCAGTAATGAGTAAATTTGAGTCAGGAGTTTCCAGTGACATGACATGGTAGCTATCTCTATGCATCAAAGCCATTGGATCTGAATGGTGCCTTTAAAAGGGTCTTTCACAAGCTCTAAGATCTCGGGCAGTAAGGCCTAGCTTCAGAAGAAGCTGGGGGGGAGGGGGGGAATCACCTCATCACTAGAATTCAAAATATGTGGTAGAAAGCACAGTTGCTCATTTTTCTTGGTAAAAGGCAGTTATACACAGTGTCTTAGTAATACAGATATTATATCTATATCTATCTATGCTTATGCATTTTCAGGGTCAAGACTTGACTTCAGTTCAAAGATGCAACGGATCTTATGCTTAGTTTGGTCACTACTATTAATTTAATTTTCTAGGAGAAGTTTATTTACACTAGGGGTTCCCAAACCCTGAGGGTATGCAAGACTTCTCTAGGGGGGGTGTGCAAGAAAATGTATAATGGCAGATTTAATTTTCATTATAATTGGCATTTAAGGTTAACATATAAAAACATGCAACTAGGGGGGAGGTGGCAGCTAGTAAACCTGGAAGGGGGTATGCAATAAGAAAAGTTTGGGTATCTCTGATTTACGCAACACTCAGCTTCATCTGTAAAGGCTGTAGTCACTGATCAGTTTATGGTGAGTCAAAAACTATTGCAAAACACGTATTACATAGATATTTAACTATAGACTAGGAGAAAGAAAAGACTTATCTGAATTTTCATTCATTCTTTAATGTGACAGACTTTTAGAATTGGTGACATATTTATAATCCTTACATTAACTGCTGTTATAGAAATTAATCTGTGCTGACTAGTTTATTCAAGGAATGGTCTGTGTAACTATGAAATAGCTTAACTTTCTACGTATAATGGACTATAAATATAAGTCTGAACAACAGATGAAAAAAAGGAACTGAACTCGGCCAGTATATTGTAAGAAATATATAATTAAGCTTCCTGGGAAATTAGTGTGGGATTTTCACAGAGTGCATAATGACTGTGTTTGTATCCTATATAAAGTGAATACTATAAAGAACTAAGTAAGAAAAAGCTTGAAATGCATTTCTAAACACCCATTAGGAATATTAGGTTCTGTTTGCCTTTTTTTAAAAATTAAACAATTCCAGATTTTAGTTATAAAAGTGTGCCACTTGCTGAGAACTGGCCTAAAGGGCCAAAAACACATGGCCTTTTCCATCTGCAAAAGCCTGCATGTATGCATAGAAATGTATACAGGTTTCCCTTGCCAACCATGGGGTTTAGGTTTCTGAAAGTTCCTGTGGTTAGCAAAACTGTGGTTGGTAAGACAAAAGGCTTATGGGGAAAATGGGGTTAGGGACTTGAATATGAATATTTTCAGCGTCTGCTGAAGCCGATTTCCCCGTAATCTTCACATTGTGGACCCCAGGTCTCCTCTTAAAGTTTTCGAACCACCCCTTGCTGCCTTGAAAACTCATGCGTTCACTTGAGCCTTCACCCCCCAAGTTCTGGATGAATTGGTCATAAATTCGCTTTGCCTTCTCACTTATCACTTGGCTGCTCAAAGGCACTTTCTTCTGTGTCTGGTCTTCAATCCAGACACTAAACGCTTTTTCCATTTTTTCTAAGCTATGATCGCACAGCATAAAGATCACTTTAGCAATTCCTGGTGTACCATTTGCAACACCAGCCTTAATAGTAGCCTCACTTTTCTTAATGGTTCTCACACCAAAATGCCTCCCTACATTCGCCACGCTCTTTCCACGTGCTAGACGATCCAACAACTCCACTTTTGTTTCCAAGGACATCACTTTTCTTGCCTTCTTCACAAGTTGCACACCTTCACTACTCACTCATTTAGAGGCCATGATTAAGGGCAAAATGCAAAAATCACAAAGACATTGGGAGAAAAATGTGGTGCATCTGAAACTGGATGTTAACAGCACGAAGCACAATGTGAGACTGAGTATGTGAGGAGATGGGAGCACCATGGGTGGCTAGCAAGAGCGTGGGTGATTGGAAATGGCAGGTGGCAGGCTGATGCGTGGAGATGGAAAACCGTGGTTACTCAAAACTGTATACCCTAGTAGCCAAAACGGTATATAGAATGTTAAGGATGGACACTCAAAGCCGTGGTTGGTGAGGGAAACTTGTATTGCATGTATAAATTTAAATTTCTATGTTCAAATATTTTTTTAACATAAAAAGGAGTTCTGTGGAAACAGTGGTTGTGCCATGTTCTAAATATATGAGACAAACAGAAAAGGATTTTGCTTTAAAAAACATTTCTGGCCCATTGCTTTATCTGCATTAGTACCAAGTAGTTCCACTACTTCAAGCAAGCAATGAATCATAAATATGAAACGAATGAATACACATAATGGATATTCTTTAGGTATCCTTTACCTCAGTTCTTCTCTTTTTATACATAT